TTACAGAAATACAAAGGAGAAAAGGGCTGTCTATTACTTTAACTGTCTATTACTTTAAAAAGATTGTCTATTACTTTGAACAGCAAAAAGGAACCTCTGGGCTGAGATCACCTGTGTTAATACAGCACAGATGAGACTGTAGAACAATTTAATTAATATGACCTGGTTGTTTGCTCCAGGGGACTTTTGCCTGGGAAAGATAAGACTGTACAACAGCAAATGTCTCCAGTGTTTACTTCAGGAAATTCTTACAGATCAATTTATTGGAATCCTGGTTTCTAAAAGCTCACTTATCCAACTAGTTCACTTATTAACCCTTGATACCTTGATCTTGTGTTCACGGGTCTTAAACTATTATGTCACAAATTCTGTCCACTTCTGGGCAAATATGAAAGACATACCTTATATGATCTGAACCTGATCGCAAAGTCCAACACCTATTCCATTCAGACTTCATCCTTTTGAGACATTCCTAATATGCCCCCAAGACAGTGGCATTTCTCCTCATTCCTCAGGTAAGACTGCCTGGTGTTATTTTGGGAGCTTATCATACTGTATAAATGTTTCAGTCAGTCAATATTACATCTTACTGTAAAACCAAATAACAACATGTACTAAATTTCTAAATATCCAGGACAATTTTTTTTTCATAAGTTGACATTCTTAGCACTAGTCTCAGTGCTTGAAAAATAGTGAACAAAATTTTTCTTCAACACTATGTTCAGTGCAATAAGATCTCTTGTAAGATTGCTAGATGCGAAAGAACTGTTCATATAGAATTCATCATTTTTTGATCAGATAGATAACACCCATTTTTTTCCTTCCTCACTTCACTTATTACAAAACTGTTGATTCAATGGCTTTTTCTAGCTCACAGAGTCACTGTTAAGTTAGAGCATTTATTTTTGTCTATTTCAAATCTATTTGCATTGGAAATCTGGTTGAGTCAAACTCATGACTTTAAACCCCTTTGTCGAATATAGAACAATGATCACTGTGCTGAAATTATGAAAGAAGCAATGAAAGGATCTCCTGTCTGTGAGCTTGTGACTCAGTATATTGAATGGAACTATGCAAGGGTTTCTGTAAGTCTTAAAAATTCTGGAAGGGAGCAGAGTATCTGGCCATGAAGAGGAATGCTATAGTTTTATTGAGTGAACAACAGCTTTTAGTCTACAATTAGAGGGCTTTATAAATGATGGAGTAATTTAATATAAGCTTATATTATTAGTGTAGTAAAATTGCTAATGTAAGATCCTTCTGCAAGAACAGGTGTCATCAAAGGGAAGGAGAGAGAAGAGCCAGGCTTCTGGACTATCTGACACCATTTGTTGAGCCAAAGAGCACAAAAGGGGAGACAGGACTGGTAGAAATCTCAGATGATGGTGTGCATTTCTGTCTATGTGAATGTTGCCCTGGATTCAACAGAGAATCCCACCCCTTTTTTCCTTTGTGTTTCAGAAGTGGGTGGGCACCTGCTTTGTCAACTTAAGAATGGTACCCAAGGAATCACATCCAGGCGTGAGTTCACTGGGAGATTTGCACAGTTCTGGGGTAATTTGGGGTGAGTGAGGCTGCTCACTAAGCTCCTTCTGCCTACGTGCCGTGTGCCTGGGATCTGTAGAAAGGTAGTGGCTGGTGCTCTGTGGGTCATTCGCCGCTCTGAAGAAGGCATTTTAAAATACAAAGAACAGCTCCACGAGGATTCTAGTTAGGGCTGCAAAGCAACAAATAGACCATAGCTGGTCCACATAGGCAATCACTGCTCCAACTGGGAGACATCTGGTTTTCATGTTAATGCCTTCAATTATGAAGAACAAAAGAAGAGAAATAGAGGAAAAAATATCTTACAATCTTATAAGATTCGTTTTTCCCCCAAAGGATCATTTCTCTGGATATCTCTTATTCTTGCCTCTTCCTCTTTCTAAAGAGATAATTACAAAATGAAATCTCATCCATGTGTGAACGTGCAAGGAGATTATACACACACACACAAACACACACACACACACACACCACACACTGAACACCATCCTGTACAACAGTTATGTCCTGTCTTGTCTTAAGCAAGAGCGTTACATCAGAGAAAAGATAGAGGATGGAAAATAACTTTAATTATTTGTACAAGAATAAACAAGGTCGTGCACAAAAGTATTCCTTTTTGGTGGAAGAGGGAAACACATACTGATAATACTAGAAGATCAATCTGTGTCTAGTACAAGTGCTGATGTGATTCTTGGTAAAAGAATCCCCTTAGGCTCTCCAAGGAAAAGCTTCCAAGTTCATTCCTGCCTATTTGTGGAAGCAGGACGAGGGGAAAAGGTCCTCCTCCAGCAGAAGTATGCAGCTCTGTGGACATTGATGGACAGCATATTGGATAAGGTATAGACCCATTAAAACCCAGATAATGAGTGGCAAGAGGGCACAGTTATCCCTTACTGACAAAGGCAAAGCACTGGGAAACCATTTGAGATATGCTTTATTTTCCCCTAGAAGGCTTCCTCCTGCCTTTCATTCCCAAGGAATGCAATAACAATTGCTCTTGGATTGTACATAATTTCAGGGCGATCTGCAAAGCTCTCCGGCTCCGGATGGCCCAGGACTTTATAAAAACAGTTTAGAGCAGTTAACATTAACTATCCAAACATTCTAAACCATATCTTACAGTATAAGTGGTATTTTAAAGTCAAACTAATTTACTGGCTCTTTTAATTCACTTCACTTTCTCAGAATAGCATCGAATACTTAATGAGCTGCACAAGGCTGAGAGAAGGAGAAGCATGGTCATTCGTGAGTCAAGCAATGATCTGAAGAAGTGGGGTGATTATGGAGGTGGGGGGGAGAGTGAGGTGGTGGGAGGCATAAGAAATATAAGAATTTCATCTTGATTCCTGGGGACACTGGTATTGACATGCCCCTTGGAGAGAATGAGAATGTCTTTATTAAAACATTAATTAATACCAGTAGAACTAGCCATTTGCTAGGCAAATTTCTTATAATAATTCCTTCAGTCCTGTGTGGGAAAGGGGAGTTATAATTATGTCCATTCCACAGGTAAGGAAACCAAGGCCCGTGGAGCTTCAACATCTTGTCCCATATGACCCGTCTTCTTGGAAGCAGAACTGGACTCCGGTCCTGGGGTCTGAGTTCTTGCCCACAATCATGCAGTCTGACTGTGACCACCATGCTCTAGGAATGGGGTGCTGCATCTCCAGATCTACATTGTAGTGGAGTGTGCTCCAGTCTTTGTGGCACCAAGGACTGGAATAGTGCGGATGACTGGTCCCCAGTTAGTGCATCTGGTTTTCCACCCTCGAGTTAATTCCCATGTGCTCTGTGTGTCTCTGGCTGTCTGTGTTCTGGACTCTAAGGAGGATCTACCACACCTGCTCCCCCAGGACCTGGCAGGGTGACCAACCTCCCTGGCCTATCCAGAAGTAAATGAGCAAGGGAAGAGCGTTGGTACCCACTGTTGACGGTTCACTTTCCCAGTGAAGGTTTCTGTTTTGTAAATGGTTAGGGAAGAACCTACTTTGGGAGCTGCACTTTAAACTGACTCTTGAAGTTTCTTATGATTGAAAGGGGCTTCCTGTTTCAAGGGTTTCAAGCTCATGTTCAACAGAAAGGACACAAAGATGGCATGAAGACAAAAAGCCCGGCTTTGCATTTGACTGACATCCCCTGCTAAAAATGCTAATAAGCCAGCTGAGAAGCCACAGTCCTTGATACAGTTCCTAAATTGTTTTGAAAAGGAGTGGACTGACCCTTGTAAATGAGTTTAACTAGCTTTTTCACATGGATAGAAACTGTCAGCTTTCTGTCATCGACGCTGCCCTGAGCAGCGCTTCATGTTCCTGTGTCGGGAGACACAGGGATTTTTTCCTGACTTCCTACAACCTCTGGAAGGACCTTCTCCTTTCCTTAGAAGCAGCTTGCTGTGATGGACACCAAACCCAGCGTCTCTTCCTCCCTTCACCTTTTGCTGTTGTCCAGGTCTTCTCTCTTCTCAAATGTCTGACAGATGCCAACTCTAGTCCACATTCTTCTGAGTGTAACGACTCTCAAGCTTCTCAAGAAAGGCTCCCTGGGGCTGGGGATGTGGCTCAAGCGGTAGCGCGCTTGCCTGGCATGCGTGTGGCCCGGGTTCGATCCTCAGCACCACATACCAACAAATATGTTGTGTCCACCGAGAACTAAGAAAAAATAAATAAATGTTAAAATTCTCCCCCTCTCTCACTCTCTCTCTAAAAAAAAAAAAAAAAAGGCTCCCTGGATGGAGAGCAATGACACTCGGTGTCGGGAGCCACATGGGACATTCGGGAGAAGACACATCTGAACAGGTTGCCCTGCAGGCTGGCAGAGATCAGGTGGGATTATCTGCCTTCAGATCTCCTTCCTCCACCTGTTCCAACCCGACCCCTGGGGTGTAACTGGGTGTTTCCCTGCCCCCAGGCTCAGACCAGACCTGTTGAAGGTGTCAGAAGCCCAGACCTGGAGGTATTAGCTTCTGGTGCCTAGAACCAAAGGTCAAGGCTCACAGCTTTTTCCTCGGTCCAGCTCTCAGTACTGGGAAGATGCCCAGGTAGAAGACCCAAGGCACACTTGGGACATTCACCAAAAGCAAAGATGTATCTCCTCATGCGCCATCCCCTCCTCATTCTTTAAAAATAAAACAAAAAACATTAAAAAACTAAAGCAAAAATAATGTCTGATTAATAATAAAGATTGCCTCTCTTTAACTCATTCTACCCATCTTACATGTTAAGAGATCATAGAATTTTAGACACGAAGAGAATGAGTGTTTTCCAGCATGGGGCCAATAATTACAGTGATTTCCTATTCCTTGGATCTCTGATTGCCAATTTCTTTAGATGGCTTCGATGTCATTCTACAGCTCGAGACACAGCTTCGCTGATGCTTTTGAACTTCTGGTAAGTATTAACAATTCATCTTTGAATAGATGACAGTGTTATAGTTTTATTCAAATGGGAGAAAATGAGTCATTTTACACCAGCTTTATAGAAAGGGATGAATATTCCAGATATACTGTCGGGGAGAGATGTGCACAGGAGAGATGGCTGTCTCCCCTGTGAGACCCAGAGCCGGCAGCAGGGCGCCCTCCAGCACCAATGCACAAAGGTTATTATGCAATGCAGGTGTTTATGCTCTTAGAAAATTAGTGGAAATGTGAGAAAGTCTCACTGTTTAGGAAAGTAATAGGGAAAAGAAAAGAAACTGCAAATACTGTGTGTTGCCCTCAATCTCAAGAACTTCTCTCTGATGTGCAACAGAGAATTGAGGGCAGCTGCAGGTTCTAAATTTTAGGGGACAGACAGATGAGGATGGGAGGAACTCAAGGTGAAGAGAATAATTCTATAAAATGGACCCACGGTGCTGACACTCAGATGCTTTCTTTGCCAAACAAGCAGTTGACCTGCAGCCCTGTCTGGCCTAAGTGGACAGTCCATGTCACATTCCTCAGCCAACTACCTGTTATGTGCAAGGAAATGCAGGCAGGTAAGGACTTTGATAAGAGGAGCCAGGTTTACTTTGAGGGGAGAGACTTTTGTGACCCTTTTCACAGACCAGCTTCCGGAAGGTAAGGCTAATTCCTCCTAACCGTAAAACCTGTAAAAAAAAAAATTGATTAGGAATCGATGGGCCAAGGGGACCTAGGATTGTCATGGCAATATGAGCTTTGAGAGTCTGATGCTGTCAGTCAAAGTCAGGAGGTGCAAATGGAGGGACTCTCTGGGAACTTCTCTGGGATCCCCAATAAAACTGGAGTGCAGGAGAGGCATGTTGTCCTGCCCCTCTCTGAGAGGACCCACCCTTCCCTTACGGGTGTCCACTTTACCTTTGCCTGCTCCTTCGATAAACTCATTTCATTTACTCTGAGCGACACCTGAAATCTTTCCGACTTGATTTCAAGCATCTGGGTTTGAAGGCGGGTCTACATGTTGACTCAGTTTCTCAGAAGATTTCAGCTCTGTAACAAAAAACCAGCTTGTGTGGTTGAGCTTGTCCCATTCACCAGCCTACGGACTCCAGTAGCCTTTCCTCTCCTGCTTTTTCTGTTGGCCGGGCTCTTGGTAAAGTGAACACACAGTTGCCTTCTCTGTTTTCACGGGTAGAGGAGCAGCTCTTAAGCCCTGATGAATATATTCATTTGGAGTGGCTGCTTGACCTTGGCAGTGACTTTTCCAGATAATGTTGTTAAGTGACACTGATCCTTTGGACACTAAAGGTAACAATTTTATTTTATTTTTGTAAATTATCTTGGGGATCAGAATTGCTAATAATCCTGTGGCTTAGTCTCAATTTCCTTCTTTTATTTTTCCCCCCAACCTCTTTCATCACTATTGAGAGTCTCTGAGTCCAAAGGAACTCAATCTCTCCCTACTAATGTCTAAAGAATTTTTATTTCAGCTCCCCCAAGTTATGATTTCATGGCAGAATAATTTCTCACTTTTAAATTCTAAATATTTTCTAGTTTGGAAATGCCTACCTATTATGTGTGGATTTTTCTTCCCTTACCCTCCATGACTTAGGTATATTTGTAGGAAAACAAAACCTTTATTTATTAAAAGTTCATTTGCTCCTGCTGCTTATTCTCCACCTGAAGTTCTAATCCTCTGTTTGTGACAAAGTAATCATTTCCACAGCAACTAATTGTGATGCTGCAAAGGCAGCCTTAGACTTCAGGAGGGGAATGAGCATCAGGGGCAGATGAACATAGAAGAAAATAAAGAGTGCCATTTATATGCAAATATCCTTAAATGTGGTGAAGGGGATGTGAAGGCACTGGGCAAAAAAGACTGAATAGTAAACAAAGTATTATTTTAGATAAACTCGAAAAACTGTTTTGTTTTGTTGTTTTTTACTCCTTCTGTGGATTGAGTCCGCCTTTGGCTGCAGCTGCTCATTGCTTGGTCAGTTCATTTTGATTGATTGATTCTTTTTTGTTGTTGTTTTTTGTTTTTGCTTCAGATAGCTGGACTTGCAGCTGTTAAAAGGAATGATCAAAGTACCAGTGTCCTGATGAATGTGCTCTCTGGGAAGGGATGGAGGAAGGACCTGCTTAGTGGATGTTCCTATTTCTAAAGTAACCCTCAAAAGGAATTTCCTAACCATCATCCTGGGTATGGGGTATTACAGTGAGCACCTTGACCTCACTGTTTCCACTTAGTGTAGCAAGACACAAAGGGACTGGGAGATATCAGGAACAGAGATTGCCATGCAAACAGCAATGAGCTGACAAAC